AAAAAAAAAAAAAAGAATGACAATCCCATCTGGAAAAGTGGCCGAAGGCTTTCTGGGTTCCCTGTTCTCTGCTTTTGACCCTTTTTGGCTAAGCTTACGATCGCAATGTCAACCATGGCAGCAGCTACGGCGGCGGCGGCCATACCCTTCACGCCATGCGTTCTTCGCGTACCAAAGACGCCCTCACTTCCACTCCTCACTTCTTCTTCTCTCCATTCTCTCTCCTCAAATACAATAAAGCCTCCCTCTTTAAAGGCTCTTTCCTCTCGCGCCAAAGCGCTGCGGCCACAGTGCTCACTCATGGCGCCCGCCGCACAGGTCCTCCTTCCTCTCTCTTCATCACCCTCCCTCTCTAAGTCCTTCTCTTAGGAATTTCTTCTTGTTAATTTTATGATCAAATCTTGTCTATTTTTCAAACAGGTCGCATCAATTTTCTTGTCACTTTTGCAACTGTGGATAGATACATTGAATAGGAAACATGTAGATTTGAACCCTGGGTTGGTCTTATTTCCTCCTCTTACTTTGTTTCTGTGCTACTGAATTAAGCACCTCATGTTGCTGTAGAATTTCATGATAACATGCTGATAGATACATAGTCTCATGCTTTCGAAATTCGAAAATGTTTCGAAAATGGTTGGAGCAAAAGGCTTTTACAGTAACCTGATGGTCTTGTTGAAAGAATACCTCATGTTGCTGTAGAATTTCATGATAACATGTTGATAGATACATAGTCTCAAGGTTTCGAAATTCGAAAATGTTTCGAAAATGGGTGGAGCAAAAGGCTTTTACAGTAACTTGATGGTCTTGTTGAAAGAACGTGCCCCATGCTCACCATTTTTGTCGATCATGAGCCAGCCTCTGAGTTGTTCATGCTCACCTTGCTGAAAAAGAGGGTCCCTGGTTATCACCAAATAAGTTTTATCATCAATCTAGTTGTAGGACTTCTCAGATATTGTATTGCTTGATTTTCGATTCAGGGGGAGGATTAAAAGAAGGATGGAAATGTTACTCACTGAAATGGGTGGATTTTGTTTGTCAAGGAATTTGACTCAACATAAACAACCTTTTTTTTTCTCACAACCTGAGTTGTAAAATAGGACTTTAATGAACCTTGACACTGAAAAAAACCTCTACATTTGGTGTGCTCAAAGTATGACCTACTAATCTAACTTAGCATGCATTGTGTATAATGGTTTCAATCTAGACGTTGGACCATGTTTTTATCATCAATCTGACGAAGATTTGTTAAAATTTGTTTGTTCTATTTATTGGAAATTGCATTTTCCAATCCTTATGCACCACATCACTTTTGATATACGAGGAGCGGCTTGCTCTTTTCTATTTGAATAGAGACAAATGCCTTTATGGTATCACTATCATACATTAGAAAATAAAATGCTTTCGTTGTTTAAAATGAAATAGCAATGGTTTTCAAATTGTGTCGAACATAATAATCTTCTCATTGGGGATTTTATGTTTCACAATGTTATATAATTGCTTGTAACTTAGTATTCACATATTTTGAACCATGTATAACTCTAGTGAGAGGGAGATTGAAGGGTATCCTGTTGAAAAGGAAATAAATTGATTAAAAATTGCACCGTAAAAGTTGCTTCATAAACTGCTGCCTTATGGCTTCACATGCTTATTTTCTTCTGCATTGCTGTTCTTCCAGGGTGATCTGGCACTTGCAAAAGCATATTGGGTTTCTAAGTCTCTCATTGCATGGAACATAAACAATGATGATGCCTACTACTACATATATGCGAGTAGAACGGCCTGCTTGTACACAACAAGTGAGGGAATTGCAGGTTGAATTTTGAGCTGCTCTTCTTAAATTATAGGACTCACTTTTCAATGGGCACTTCTTCATTCTCATGATAGATTTGAATGGAGAATTGCAGGGTATGATGTGTTTATTTCTTAACGGCTTTATGATTGAGTTTATGGCTAATGTACTGCTTTTGATCAGTACATTAGCTTTCTGTATTTTCCATTTCCAATACTTCTGGAGCTTTTAGTTTAATTTCTCTCAAGTAGTGGCTGAACTAGGAGATGACACGTGCGTCACCAATCATGTGGTACATTTAAAATGTAACTGCCTTTTTGATCTTCTTGGTTGTCCCATGTAGAGTGCGGGTTGAACTTTGATGTCTTTTGCAAAATGTTAACATTTTCTCATCATTAACCAGCAGTTGACCATAACAGATGTACCAATGGTAACCTGGGTATCCAAAATCATATTTCCATTGAGGCTCAAGCTATGATTGAGCTGCTGAGACATTACAGGAGAGGGATTAATGGGCAGTTTATCCTTGAAGTTAGCCTGTTCGATGCCCATATGTGGATTGATACGGGTGAATAGGCATTGTTCACCAAATCAGTTCTTTTAGGCTATGAGAAATGGAACTGACTATTTGAGGCTGATGTGAACCTTTGAGTCCCTGCTCTAATACATCCTGGGAATCCTGTCAGCTAGATATTCACATTTTATCACATCGTGATCCCTCTTTTCTTGGTTTTTGGTATTTAGCCATGCAGTTTGTAGTGTGTCTTATATTATGTATTGTGGGTCCCAGATTTAGTAGGCATCAATGACCTTTCATAATCTTTCGATTTCTTCTTAATTTTGACATTTTTAGGCGATAATCCATCTTTGCTACTTCAAAACCTCTATCCATGGTTACTTCCCATTATGTAGGTTCGAACCCCCTCACAAGCACTGCCTCATTAGGCTTAAGTGGTTAGCAGGCTGATGTTTGTCAGCGCTAAGTCTCAAGTTTGATTCCTACTGCTGAACTACACCACCTTTCCCCTCCCCCCCTCTCCTCCCACACCAAAAAAATAAAATAAAAAATAAACTCTATCCATCATTGATCTGGAGTTGTGTTTAATGTTATCTTTTCATATCAATTCTTAAGTTTGGGTTCCACCTATTAATTATGCAACTGGAAATGAGTAACATGGGGGTTATAATTAATTATTTTAATATCTATTTTCCTTGTTAGCATAAAGAAAAATTTGCATTTCTGATCTGAAGGATGCGTTGTTCCTTTAATAGGAGAGGACTTGAAAATTCAGATAGAAGTGGATGATGGGGGGCTTCCAAAAAATGTAAGCCTATATTCATGATCAGTTGAATATGGAATTAATGTTGAATTTGGAAGATCTAGATGCCTGTTTTTTTTTCTTTTCAATTTCGTGGCTTGTCTTGAATCATTTAACGTCCTTGACTTAAAGTTTCAGAAGTTTTGTATTTCAGGTGACCGAAAAATTTCCTCACATCAGAGATTACAGAGCTCTTAGAGTTCCAGATAACGTGGATGCAGGAAGTCTGCTGAAATGTCAGTTGGCGGTTGCATGTTTTAATGGTAAACAATAAGGCCTCTTGAGTGTGGACTCATGTCCTTGGACCTGATTGGATTGTATGTTAATTATCCTTTACTACATAGGTTCTTGTGTGTGATATAAGATAATTATGTAATTGTGCATGATGATAAAAAGAAAATGTAATTTTCTTTTTAATGTGTAAATGTGTTTGCATTATATATTTGGAATGGCAATCCAGTGTTAATTATCCTGTACTACATAGGTTCTTGTGTGTGATATAAGATCATTATGAAATTGTGCATAGTGATAAAAAGAAAATGTAAGTTTCTTTTTAATGTGTAGATGTGTTTGCATTATATATTTGGAACGGCAATCAAGTCAGTTGTTTAAGTCTTTTTGTATATAAGCCTCAAGGGCTTCATTAGTCATTATTGAGCATCATTATTTCTAATGCATCCCACATGTGACTGAACAATTTGAGAGCCCTTCAGGGACCTGCGTAAGGTCTTAGTTTACATCAAATATGCAATATACTTCATGGTACTCACTTTTCTGCTTATTCATGGGCATGATATAACTAGTTTGGTATCTTCACATCAGCAGGTTGAATTTCTGTCACAAAAATTAAGTAGTAATTTGTGCCTGGGAGCAAATTTTATACTCTTCCACATCTAATAAATTAAAATTGTGTTCTGTACCTTTTCTCATTATTCTCTGAGATGATGTTTGGGTTCCATCGCATATCATTTATTGCTCTTGATTCCATTGTTTTTTAGTCTTTTGTGGATTATTATACTTGAACTGCCTGGATTTATTGATGGAAAATAAACTATGCTTTGAAAATTTTCCAATAGCTCCATGCAATGATCTATATTTGATCTGACAGATGGTAAAGTTCTTTTCATCAATTGGTCCACTATGGTGAAAATATTTCTTCAATTGGTTTAATGCCCATAATAAACCAGACAGTTCTTCGTCTTGATTTTTAGTTCTGACTTCCTCAAGTTATAGTTAAACGCAAAAGGCAGAATTTTCCACATTTAATATGTCATTTTCCATCGTCTTTCTTTTCCTGTATCTTTTGCATCTAGTTGGGGACATACATCTTTTTCTTGGAGGTGCGGCTTGTATTTGCTTGAAGTAGCTAGCTAAAGAAGACGTGGATACTCTCCAAGGACAGCATGGTGGCTTTGTTTTGTCTTCTTAAAGGAATCTCCAGAAAACAATACTGATATCTAAGATGGTATAAAACATACCCAAATTTAGCATGTAAGAAGATAGGAAGTCTCTGGAGGTCTTGAATGTTCCACAGTGTTACACAATGACAAGTTGGGCTAAATGAAGTGTTGGAATAACACTAGTTATATATATTACAATTTTCTGATGCCTAAAATCCTCGAGCAACTTCTGCCATTTAAGTGAACCATGACCAGTATGAGATACTCAGCAAAAAATAAGTTGGCAGTTCAGGTCCCATGACGTAGATGTGCCAGACCTGGAAATTGGAGAAAGTGCATTTCATTATCGATGACAAGGAACGTCCTAATGGCTATGAAAGATAATCAACTGGTCAACATAGTAAAAAATGCAGCCTTAACAGAAAATTTTTAACTAAGTAATAAATGAGTGAACTGAGTTTTGTTATTGCTGTTTCCCAAAAAAAGCAAAAGAAAAAAAAAAGTTGTTCTCTACTACGTGTCAAATAAATAGTTGCGGGGATCTTGGTCAAGGGTTGGCGATCCCCCTTTGGAATCTCGATCTGGTGATCGCGGAGCCAGAGCCCGAGCGATACTCGCTTCCTACCAACAGGGGATCTTGATCCTTACCTATTGGAATCTCGGTTCCTAACGTAAAGGGATCTCGATCCTTGACTGCAAAGGATCTTGATCCCACTCCTCCAAATTGTGTACTTAATTGATGATTTTTATAATTTTTATATTATTTCAAAGTGTATTATAATTTTGAAATTATTTCATATATTTTCTTTTTTGTCTTCATTTTCATTTCAAATCTCTAATTTATAATAAAAAATCTGTTCCTGGATTTCGTACTGCCCTTTTTGTCATTTCACGCATTTATTGTATCTCATCTTCAAATATTCTCTAAAATATTTTCCTTTATTTTTTAATCATTAATATTTTCATACCTTATATTTTTTACCTGAAATATCTTTTCTAGTATTCCAAAAATTGTCTACTCAATTGACTTGGTTATTTTATATTATTTGAAAATGAATGAAATAATGATGTTTTTCATTGATTTATTTATTCTCTTAATTTTCATTTAAAAACTTTTGTTTATAGTACAAAATATTTTCTTGAATTTTGTAATGCCCTTTATGTCTTTCATTTTTTAGATAATCAATTAAATATCATTTCATGCATTAATTACATCTTACTTTAAATCTTTCCTAAAATATTTTCTTTCATTGTTAATTCTTAGGATTTTTGTACATTACTTTTTTAATACAAAATGTCTTTTCTAGCTTTTGATGAACTTTTTTTATTTTATAATATTTGAATGTGTATGAAAATAGTGATATTTTCATTGATTTATTTATTCTCGTAATTTTGATTTAAATTTATAATACAAAATCTTTTCTTGGATTTCGTAATGCTCTTTACAATTTAATATCATATTTTGCATTTATTGTATCTCATTCCAAAAGTTCAAATCTTCCTAAAATATTTTCTTTCATTTTTTTTTTATTAAGTTTTTATATTATATCTTTTTAACACAAAATGCCTCTTTAGTTTCGTGTAAGTTGCTATTTATAATAGAAATTCATTTATTCTCTTGATTTTCATTTAAAATTTTTTGTTTATAATAGAAAGTCTTTTCTTCGATTTCGTATTGCCCTTTGCAATTTAATATCATATTTTGCATTTATTGTATCTCATTTCAAAAGTCAAATCTTCTTAAAATCTTTTCCTTCGTTTTTTTATTAGTAAGTTTTTTATATTATATCTTTTTAACACAAGATGCCTCTTTAGTTTCGTACAAATTGCTATTTATGATAGAAATTCCATTTCTCAATGTCGTGGTTTTCTTGTGTCTATGTTTGCTTATGCTTGTGAGTCTACTCGTTCAAGAGTACTCCATAAAGTCTAAATGCATTCTTTTTTTTTCTTTTTTTTTGTAATTTTTTATGGAACTTTTTAGCAATAAAGTTCTTATTAGCATGTGTTCAACATATAGATAATGCTAAAAGATTGATTGTTTATTCTTTTATTTTTAAAATATCACTTCTGAAAAAATTGATAGGACATCTTTGTAAGAATATGCTCACACATACATTTATGCTTTATCATTTAGGTAATTGCAATAATATATAGTAACAATTAAGAATACATACACACACACACACACACAACACACACTAATATATATGTCGAAAAAATAAAATCACACACAAGCACATATATATATGGGGTGCTTCCCTTGCACTCATGTAGTGCATATATAGGAGATTGCTCCCAGGTGGCTCCCTAAGCAATGCTCCCCATCACTCCAAGTGTAGGGAGCTTCAGCCAAGGCTTCTTGCACCCGCACCCGCACCGCACCTGCACCTTCTCCCGCTCCCAACAACTATGTATTAAACAAATCGGTATAAAATACTATTGCAACACTGATTCTTCTTTACTCTATTGTGCTCTCTGATGTTATATGGAATTCCTTTGTTTTTCTACTCTTGGGGAGGTTGCTAGTTTGCATACATTGATTCCTGAAGATTTTGGTATCAATGTTGCTAAATATTTTGATTCCTGATAATTCAGGGGACTTTGATATCAAGGTTTCTCCATATAAACTTTTTGTGGCATTTTTTTTTTTTAATAGCGAATTTATTTATGTGGTGCCATGGCTGACTAGGATTCTTGTAGCCGATCCTGATGTTGGGTATAGGCTCTGATGTTGATGACTTATTTATGTGGTGCTAGCTACTCTGCATCGTTTGAGAGAAATTTTCATTACAGTTACATTGGGGGATTAGCAAAGCAGCTCCTAGTTTTCATTGATTTATTTTATGGCCTTTCTATCAAATTATGTATTTGAAGTTTAGATTTATGACATTTATGTAAGTTCTTTCAATACAGGTGATGGAAACTGTGCCAGTTGCACGGGCTTGCAGTTGCCGGGTGTGATTGATGACCTATTCTCCTATGATGGTCCACTTGGTGCTATATTTACTGAGGAAACTGTGTCCCTTTATCTTTGGGCTCCTACTGCTCAAGTATAACACCATTTCTCTTGATTTTTTTTGGGGCACAATCTAAATGTCCTTATACGGTTATAAGCTATATGTTTGTCTTTGTGCATGTTTGTGTTGCAGAGGGTACTTGCCTACATCTATTCAGATCCATCGGATGGTGATCCATTGGAAACTGTTGAGCTCAAAGAGTCGGATGGTGTGTGGAGTGTGAATGGACCGAGAACTTGGGAAGGCCATTATTATGCATATGAAGTTTCTGTGTTCCACCCCAGCACTTTACATATTGAGACATGTTTAGCTAATGATCCTTACGCAAGAGGGTATGTTTTTGCGTGGGATATCTCTTCAGCTTATAAAGTGGTCTCACTTCTCATTGCTTAATTGTTCTATCTTATTGGAGTAGGCTTTCTGCGGATGGGAAGCGATCTTTGTTTATCAATCTTGATTGTTCTACCTTAAAGCCAGAGGAATGGGATCAGTTGGCTGATGAAAAGCCTGCTCTTTCATCAATTTCAGATATGAGTATCTATGAATTGCATATTAGAGATTTCAGGTATGGAAGCTCTTGATGTGAGTAGTGTTTACCTCATGTGATCTTGATCTGTCTGATTTTCTGCTATGCCCTTTCCTAGTGTAGGATCAGAATTTTCTCCTATAAGGTGATGCAATATCCTTCAACTGGGCATTTCTGAATGAATTCTAGATTCTATTGTTAACTGGATTCTCAATCTTTTTGAGTGTTCATGCTCATTTAATCTTGTGAATTTTTTTTTTGTTTTGTTTTTTGATATTTAATATCTTTTTCTTAATTTACTCTGGTATTTTGATGGGAGTTCCTTATCATTCTGAATATCTTTTGTTATTGTTGAAAGCTAAGGATCTTGGAATTGCATTTTGGGAGATATCTAACAGCTTTTGTACTTCAATAAGTTTTATTTGTTATTTGGACTGCTCAAAAGGCTTTCCGAAATTTATGCACCTTTAATCCATGTGATTTTCTTTTGAGGGCATGGTATTGGTTAGTCTGGATCATAAATCAGACTAACCAATACCCTCCCGCTTTTCCTTTGTTTGATGGAACAGTTTGCAACTTTACATAAATCATTGCTTCCTTTCCTTCTGTAATCGCTTGAACTTGGCTGTATTAGATTTCAAAGTTCAGTATTCTTTTTATTTATTTTTTACTGATTTCTCTTTTTAATCAGTAGTTTGGTTTTTAAACAGTGCCAGTGACCACACTGTAAATCCTGAACTACGTGGCGGCTATCTGGCTTTTACCTTGTCGGTAAGGTTTGCACTTTTTATATTAATCCTTTAATGCATGGTACTTTTTACATTGTGTTTTGAAATTTCTTCTGATAAATTCTTATCACAGGCTTGAGTATAAAATTTTGAAAATCTATTTTGGCAGCAAATGGTTAGGGAAAGTGGATACTAGATATCATGGTTCTAGTACTGTTAAGGATTGGTTTGATTTTTTAAGCTGGGATGACACTGACCACTAGACTATTCTAAACAATTCATTGGAAATTATTAGTGTATAAGAAATAAAAACTCATACAAGGGAGACAATGCAACTTTAAAAGTTTTACAATACATTTGAATTGCAACCGTTAAATTGAAATTGCAGCAAGGTTACAGAGACATAATGGCTTCAAAATACACTTTCGAAGAAAGGATACAACTCTATTTAGGTCCCTTATACATCAACAAGTCTATCCTCAAAGATTGAATACATGACTACTACACATATATAATGTACTCTTGGAAATTCAGCAACATACAATCTTACAATGCAAAATTATACATAAATTGAAACATGAAAATACATCAAATCAAGATCTCAACTACATAAACATGTGATTGCTCAAGTGTAGTGTGCATCAAGACCATGGAAAAACCATATGGAGCTCTCGGGTGTCCGGTTTACCGCCTTGGGTCTTAGCTATGTGCCGTTGGGAGATATGCGATGGCAACTCTCAAATTTCGGGCCAATTCATCATCTAAGAATGGGAAGCCAAGCATCTGCAAATATACTCATCAAAGATGGAAGGTTTTAGCATAGATTTATAGATCTTGCAAGTAGGAAATGCGTGGGAGTGATCCGAGGCTTTAGAACACAAAACCGGATCTAGTTTCCTCCCAAAAGAGCTCTTGGAAATTCGACGTAGTTTCTCTTAGAAAATCAGATAAATCAAGATGCTAATGAGGTGATCTATGTCACTGATTTGAGTTGGAAAAACTTGGAGAAATCAGTCAATGAAAACTTTGAAAATCATGTGGGAAGGTTCATAGAAAACTACACACACATGGATGCAGCATAATTGAACATGGATCAAGTGAGATAAAAAGGAGAATCAAAGGGCTAAAAGATGATCAACAAAAGAAGTTGTAATGTTGCTGGAATTGCAGAATTACAGCAGATAATGATGATCTAAAGAATGAAGAATGAAAGGCCTTACTCAAATAATGATGGTCACTTGACTTGTTGATCCATGGAGAGAGCTATGAACCTTTGATCGCCATTAATGGGGCTCAATTTTCCCTTGAAGATGGCCGCACCCTCTCTAAGGTTGAAGATGAAGTTTTAGAGAGAGAAAGGAAGTATTTGGGCATGCCAAAATGAGAGGGAGGAGAGAGGTTGGGGCGTGCCTCTTTTGGAGCGAAGTTTAGTGAGAGAAACTCCTTGTGTGAAATGAACTCAAAGGGGGTATTTATAAATTTTTCATGGCACATGGGATGAGATCTTCTAGATGACGAATCAAGGCCCTCCATGTCTTCTACCAAAGGCTATGAAGAGAGGCATGATCTTATCCCACCATCCACCATCAGCCATCTTGATGTATGACATGGATTTAACGCCCTTATCCTCCCTTAAGTTTACTCTAGTTTCCCTTGTGATCAAAATGGCCATACATTACATTTTAATATAATTATAAAACCATGATGGAGGGTATGCCCTTATGGTCTTTTGATCAAAATTCCAGCAAGAAGAATATTTCAAAATTCCGTCCATATCTCATTAGCATGTGGGATCAATACGATCATGCCACATGAGGCAAATGGTTAAGTGCACATTGACCATGTGCCTTTAGGGATAGGATTAATATTTCAAACCCTATACCCTTTCTAGAATGTCTCATATATGTGCACCAAGCCACTTGCTTTAGGCATGTAACATGTGTCAAAAAAAAATATTTTTTCAAGATTCACAATTTAATGAAAAATGATAATACAAGATAAAAAGGCACAAAACATCTTTAAATAAATGACAAGGGGGTCCCACATGCGGTTGACGCCACCCCTACGTCATCTCCACGTGGGAAGCGTGGCCAACCCATGGGGTTGGCACGTGGATACCCATTGGCCATTTGGGCGTCCCGTGCAGGTCCCTGGGGACTATCCTTGATTGTCATTTTATTCAAACAAATCCAGAAAAGGGTTTTTCTTGTCTCGAAAAAATCCAAAAACATTCCCATAAATCCAAAAATCATTTTAATGATTTTTCATCAAAACAAAAGATTTTAACAATGATTAAAAACATTTACAAAGGAAATTAGGATCCTTGGAATTGAATTAAAAAACAGTGCAGCCCACTCGGCTATGTCGGAATCCAAAGTCACCTTCTTGGAAATTCCCCAACAGACTCATGACCCATAGTGTTAAATCAGGGGCTCAATGATATTAGTCTTATCAAAGTCAAGTTGATATGCGACTCTGAATCCGAAGGTTAAGTGGATTTCAAGTGCACTCCTTAGAGGACATGCACACAAGAATAAGGTGCGGGGGTTCCTCTCTTAGCACATGTGCATAACTCTAACTAGTGGATCCGTGGAAGAACAAGCTTCCCATGAATTGCGACTGTATATGCACATGTCATGAAAAGGTTCTAAGAGTTAGGGATTTAGGTCAATGCCCTCTGTTGGCCCAACCTTCTCATACATGACTTTCAGTCATCAAGTTTATATGAACATTGTATTGTCCTGGCCCAACACATGGTCATGAGGTACATATCAACATATCATAGTAGCTGACCCTGACTTAGAGGTAACCCTCAGCTCTCTCTGAACGTTCCATATGCCAATCGTCCTCATGACCGAATCGGGGTTCTGTAACTCTTGGTTCCAGTGCGCCAACATCCTAGAGTCATGTCACTCTTATACTCCCACTCAAGTATAGAGCTAATGAAAATGAAGGAATTTAAGGCCTTGAAAGGACATAATTCCAACAATATCTTTAGTAGGGTGATACTAACAATGATGCGAATGGGAAGTCGCATGATGATATGCTTTTCCAGCCCATCGTTTTTCCATGTGGTCCTTCAACTGCTTCTTTGCAGTTTTGCACAAAAGGCTTAACCCTTGTCTTCTTGCATAATAATATATTACTTGTGAAAGGGCAAATACATAAAAATGATACAAACTGGACATTCCCCAATTGTTTTATTAGGGACCACAATTGAACTAATATAGGTTCCACAACTTCGAAAAAAGGGTTCATGCATAATCTCTTCTTAGTCATATCAATGAATATCAAGTAAATTAAGCACATATAACTTAAGCACATATAATCACTATTTAACATGCTGGAATTAGGATTTCAATTTTTGACAAACCATATTTCTTTTTGTTTCCTTTTTTCCCTTATTTTATTTGATCAAATAAATTCATGGTTTTAGGGTAAGGGCACAAAACTCTAAATGTAAAAAATATGATGTTTGCTGCCTCCTTAAATCCACAATTTTTTTTTTTTTCCAAATGTTCGTTTTTATTATTATGAACTAAAAGAAACTAAAACCCTAGGTTCGTGTGGTTGGCTTACTGTTTGTTTTGTTTCCATACAGATTTGCCTCCAAGGAGTTGTTTTCCAAAAGCGAGGTAGCAGGCTTCTGGATTTCAGCTTTCTACGCCAAAACCTTAGGATGTTTCTTTTGTCCAAAAAACTCTCTTTCTCAAAATGTTCGTTTTTTTCTCTTGGAGCTTTCCTTCTTCAAATTCTCTGAGGAAACACCTAAGTGGTTAATGTCCCTTTCAAGTTAATCTTATCTTAATAAGTAACAAAATTAACATGCGAATTGGTAACTTCCTTAAAAGTGATTGTTTTTTTGGGTGGGTAAGTTGGGATTCAAACCAAAACTATAATACTATGCTCCATATGCCTAATCCCTAAACCTTTGCCTCTTTTCTGTATGACTTTTGTTTCTGGAGTCGTTTGTTTAATATACTGAGTTTTGATCTTGTCTCATGGTGATCCTGATTGTTGTTGCTCTTATTGTTCTGGTTTTGGATTCATTGGAGCTTTACAAATCTGTCCCCATTCATCTGAGTTGAAATCACATTCTATACCCTCTTCATATACTTTCCATATACGCAGAAAAAGTAAGAGCAAATAGAATGGTTTTGTCGGCACTAGGGATATGATGCATAATCTATAGCAAATTGAATCAAATCTATGGGAACGTCCATCAGATCTGAAATCTATCGAGAAAATGGCAAGACAACAGCAACAAAAGAGGGAAAACAATATTATAATCCTTGCCGAACTTCAAACCAAAACGAGAAAGCTCCAATCGATGTTCCTTCATGATCAACGAAGGTGCTTGGAGAACAAGATCTTAACAAACTCGAAGGGGCAGCAAAGCCTAAAAGAAATAACAAAATATTCAAATCCCCTCTTAATGCCTCAAATTGGTCTATCTATATCCCCATTTCTTAGGCCTAATAGCTTAGAAATATAAAAAATAATATTCCCCTTGCTTAGATTAAGAATAACAAATACATAATTATAGTTCAACCCAAAACAATTAAAGCCATCCAAAATACATGCTCCATGTGCTGTAGCTGTGTGGTTCTGATTAACCAAATTCTCATTGAATGATCGGATTATGAGATGTAACTAAGTGATAAAATCTCACATCTGAGCCACTTGGTAATCACATTACATAAAATATTGTGTAAAATTTATATTCTATAATATATATGACAATACTTGTATGAAGTGTAATATGTATTTATATGCAAAATGCGCAATGGAGAATAGAGATATTCAGGATGATGTGCATAGAATTATAGCTGGGCGCGTGAAATAGAGATATACATCCGGAGTTTTATGTGATCGCCACATACCAATGAAACTAAAGGGGAAGCTTTATAGTCCTATTGTAAGACCAGCTATGCTTTATGGGTTTGAATATTGGGCAGTCAAGAAACAACAATAGGATCAATGTAGCGGTATGTTGAGATTGATGAGTGGCAGGACAATAAAAGATATAATTTGTAATGAATACATACACGAGAACTTAGGGGTGGCTCCGCTAGGTAATAAGATGAAGGAAAAGAGACATGGGCTATCTATGTGTCGTGCAAATCTAATACAACATCAGTTAGGAGGAGCAATTAGGTTCAAGTAGAAGGCTCTAAAAGAGCTAGAGGAAGACCCAAAGAACATGGATGGGGGTAGTGAGAAGAGATATGGTGACTTATGTTTTGACTAACGGTATGATCTTTGATAGAGTAGAATGTAGGAACATGATTCATGTAGTATACCCCAAAAAGTTAGGATAAGGCGCAAATAATGATAATGATGATGATAAATTACTATTTAGATAGTAAAGTTAAACATATATTGTTAATTTTGTACTCTTTGTTCTAGTGAATATTTTTTTTAAGGCATGTTTCGATGTACTCATTATCATTGATAATTCGTTGTTTTGATAAAGTTTGGTAGTGTCCATTATAAAGTTAACTTAGCTAAACTTATAGGCAGTTTTACTATGAGTTTATCTTTTGGCAAAATTGTTTTTTACTTGATTCAAATTAATTTCCTAAAATCGTATGTTTTATCTAAAATAGCTGAATAAAATAGCCGAAAATGCAAAAAAGTTAAATAATTAAATAGTATTATATACAATACAAAGTACATACCAAACAACTAACAACATAATATTATGAAAATTATATTAATTTCAGATAAGTAGTCTATTTCAGATGGAATTAATTACCATCCAAACATCCCTTAGTAGTTGTTTGAATAAAAGGAGAGGCATTGACCTTTTTGATTACCTTAAAAAATTGTATCCCCTTCTTCTGATCGTTCTGTCATCAATATTGTTTTATTTGAAGAGAGTAAGTCTTATTTTAGCTTCTCATTAAAGCATAGTATTTCATTGGCTACACGTGCAAGTGTCAACTCTCAACAACATAGAAAATTGTAGGTGTAAAATCAAGAGAGTTGAAAATTAGTGGTTCAAGTAGAAGCGGCAATGTGGACTATGTGTTTCCATCGAATATGTGGACTATGCGAACTCCATTGGGTTTCCTTTGTTTTTTGGTTTTTGCTATTAATACCTGAGAGAGGTGTGAGTTCATGATCTTATCAATTATCAGAAGATATTTAGTAAAATAATTATTTTTGACTTTCCCGAGTTTACATCCTTATGAAGAACTAAGTACATATCAGTTTAACCATTAGTGTGACATTTTCTCAAAATCTTAGGAATATATAATAAGGTTGATGTCAACTGTGCATAGTAAGATTCATAAAGTTATCCAGTGGATTATTCAATCTTTGAATGTGCTTGTTCTGAGTTACACACTGTGCTTATTCTAGTTACTCAGGCGGCTTCCCTAGGAAGTTTAACATCTCTTGTTAGTCTTTATAAGTTACTTAGTTGAAATATTGTAGTTTGATTTGTCCTCTTCTCAATTAATGAAATTGATTGATTGCATTTAATAAATGCTGAGTTTTGCTAAAAGTAATCATTCCGCTTATTGTTAGGTCCGTGTTCTGTGTGCTTTTCCTTCCTTTGAATTTAGACTGCTTCACATATTCTTTAACTCATCAATACTGTCTCATTAAGTCATTATCTGTTTGACAGGATTATGCAGGCATGCTTCACTTAACAAAATTGGCAAAGGCTGGTCTTACACACGTGCATTTGCTTCCATCCTTTCATTTTGCTGGTGTGGATGATGAGAAAGAGAACTGGAAGTACATTGGTGAGTTGATATCAGATGTTTGTTTTGTAATTCCATACTACTAGGTTGTTGGATGGTTTCTTCAAGTGCCCTTGTATTCCCTTTGTATTTATCATTACAAAATTTACTTTCGTTGATATGATAATTCTAAAGTACTATATCAGTTCAACATGCTTTTGTTGTTAAGAACAAGAATGTGCTTGATGCTCCCTTTGAAATCCATTTTTTGAAAGTGGAGTGATGAATAACTTGTATCATAGTTACCGGGAGCACCTAACTAGGATGGCGCTCCCACTCTGGAACCCAGCTCTGGCACTCCGTGGCCAGGATCTCGTCTAGAACCCGTTTCCAAATTTTTTAGAGCGCGCTCCTATTTTTAGGATTCTCGATCCCATTCACAATGGAGCTCGCTTCTGCTACTGCAAGGATCTCGCTCCCAGTGTCCCACAGAACGTGTTCCTAAACAAATTAGATTCCTACTCTTAGAATTTTAAGATTGCGATCCCAACGTTCTTGGAACTCCGTCCTTACGGAGGATCCCAACATGAACAAAAACAGAGCCACCCACCATTAAAACAGTAGGGTTATCAGCTAAAAACCATATAGAAATTGGGCCTCGAGGACTCAAAGCGGCTATTCTAGCCCTAATTCCAGATGGATAATTTTTGGGTAGTCCATTAAAAATGTTAATTTGCTTTTCCAATCCTTTACAGAGGTTTTTAATTTGAGTTCCTATAGAAAACCAGTCACCGCAATTCTTGAATTCGTCAAGGCTAGCTTGTATAACATACTTGAAATCCCCTTGTATATTCAGGCTTTCATGGTTTCCCTGTAAAATTAACACCTTTCCATTTGATTTCTCTGCGTCTTGCTTGAGTTCTTCTAAAAAAATAAAGGAGCTTGAGCTCTTCTCCTCCTCTGTCAAGGATATTACTATGCTTCACAACCATGGAGTTAATTGCAGTTCAATGATAGTTTTCATCAAAGATTTTGGCCATTTTCAGAGCTTGTTTGGCCTTTTGAAGATTGTCATAGAGGTCCCCAATTGCTAGCAAGCGAGGTTGAGATGGGTATGTGGGATTTTGTTGCTGTTGTGCTTTTTGAGGAGAGAGAAAGATTCTACTCACTGTGAAGTCAACGAATGTGTTCATGAAGTTAAAGAGGGAGAGGGGCACGTCTTGGCAGATGGATCTATTGGATCAAGGGTGCGGAGGTTAAAGAGGTGGTGAATGTATGGTCGAGAGAGAGAGGTAGAGATAGAGAAGGAGAAAGAGAAGACCGGTAGAGATTGGCTCCAAGTTAAGCGGAACGCGATCCAACCTTGAATGGAGCTCGATCTATTCCAAATTGGACCACATTTTTCTTAGATAGGGGTGTGACTCAACTTTAAATGGGATCCCGTTCCTGTTGTTTATGGGAGCGCGGTCCTAATGAACATGGGAACAGGATCCCATTTTACATGGAACACGTTCCCGTTAAAATAAAGACCTTGATCCCAATGTATCTGAAATGCACTCCCTATTCATACGGGATCTCGATCTGCAACTTTTATCCTCACCGGAACTTGCTCACCGTGCTCCGGAGCTTTAGGCAGCCCTCGATCCGATGCTCCCGCTCCCGCTCCCGTTTCTGGAATCGAAGCCGTTCTTGCACCTGCTCCCAGTAACTATGGTTTGTATTCTTCCCTCAAACCACAAAGTACATAGTATAATCTTGGTCACGCGCTGGCTTTTGAATCATAACAAGCTGTTCACAAAGCCCCTTGAGCATGTACTGAAAATATATAATGAATTATTGACTCCAGTGGGAGTATGGTCCAGCTTGGACTGTAGGGCATTAACAATGCCTCAGACTGACGTGAGTTTTGACTGGGTATGACTCAATGTGAAGTCCAAAACCCGTAGTCATAGGCATCATGTAAGCACAATTGATAAGGGTTTCGATCTGGGGTTATCCCTAGATGAGGTCGGAGATATACCCAAGACAGTTGGCCAGGGGACATGGATTTGACTCCCGTGTGTGATGGATGACCTAAGAGGACAAGGGCCTAAATCCTCATCATTACCATCACACGGCGTGTACACTAGATACCTGTCCGGGAAGCGACCATTCGGATAATGTGTGACGTGTACATGTGTGGAAGAGATCACTCCCTGCAACACTGGACTGTGTTGGAAGGACCCATCGAGCATACTGCTAAAATTGGCCTTGGACTTGTCCTCCGGGATGGACCTGTAATCCATGGTCTAGGATCGTATTTTCTCCACTTATTGGGTGACTTTGATTGTCCAATCATGAACCGTTACGGTGGGTTGTGGGTCATCAGATCAGTTAGGTCAGTTTCAGAAGGTGCAGCGAGATACGGTCTCTAAAGAGTATAGAGTCCTCAGTGTTTTTGTTGTAATCCTAACTATATGGATCCAATTCGTATCAAATTTTCTTGGATATGTTTTAATTATTTTTCAGATAATCAAAATGAATTTTTAGACCTCTTTAAGTATTTTATTTTATTGAAATATGATTTTAAAATAGAGAAAAATCAATTTCCTAGATTTATTTTTTTTGAAATTTTTATAAAAGTTATTTTATCATCTGAAAATTATATTAGGGTATTGGCGGCCCATTGGGCTCATTGGGCCCACCATATTGTAGGGGTGTGAGGCTCACATGGCCACCCACCTCCTCCATACTTTCCTAAAATAAAAGATGGCAATTATGTCATATGTTAACTTGATATTTTAGGAAACCTTTTTGTGAAGAGATTTTGATTGATTTCAAAATAGACGGTGTAAGAAATTAAGTGTGATTGATTTCAAAATAGGATGGTGTAAGAAATTGACTGTGAGTGATTTTAAATTAGGAATGTGTAAGAAATTGATTGATTACTTTCTCTACACTAAATATTTGATGGGAGTGGAGTTATGAAAACTGAGTGATAAGGTTCCACATCATTCCTTTAATCATGATGGCTGATTTAGGGAATGAATGGTCGAAATCTCTTCACCTCATAGGTATCCTAAATCAAAGGTCAAGATTAGACCTCATGATGATGACAAAACCCTAACCCTAGAAACCCTAGCCCCTTGTCTATAAATACTAGCTGTGGGAGTTCTATCTCTCACTCTATCTCTCTCTCTCTAAGCAACCAAAGGGGGCACGCCCCACTCAAGCCTTCTCTCTCTTCTTCTCTCATCCAAATTAGGGATTGGGAAAGAGTTAACCCTAAGGGGTGGCACGCCCAAGCCACACAAGCCCTAGCTCTAGGTCCCTGCTTCATGCTCATGTGTTGAGCCTTTAAGGAAATCCTATGTGATGCTCTCTAAGGGTTTTGCCTAGGCTTCCCTCATTGTGAGGTGTGTTCTTGAACCAAGATCTCGTGCGCCATCGGTGGAGGAGACCCGGTTTGGGGTGTATGAAGTCCTTGAGGGTAACCTGAGGCAAGGTACGCGTTGTTTCATATTCCGTGCTTCTGTTGCTTTCATTTCTTTCTACTGTAATTTTCAGTTTTACATGATGAATGTAGTTTTCCTTTAATGGCATGCAAGTGAGAGGTCTTGACTATTTCATTAAGTCAACTTGTATGTTTGGACACTTGTAAGTGATCCGGGTGGCAATACATACAAAAGAATAAAAAAAAATTTAATCGGTATTGCCCGTTCACCTAGTCAACCTTTCACCATCTCCACTAGCATTTCTCATTTTTGGATGATTTCTCATCTACCTTTTACCATAACCTCTTTGCAGAGGGTGGTGGGGTTTGTGGCCTTTAAAGGCATAAAGAGCTTGTATACAAATCATTTGTAGTGATTTGTGCACTTCAGTGGGAGTGTACTCTGGTTGTGTGGCCTAGGGTTGGGAGGTGTATGAACCGGGTCATGTCCAAAAGCCTTATCCCTTGGCATGTAGCACTATTCTTGAGGGTTTATTATAGGTCATCCCTCGTTGAAGTCCAAGAGATGCCCAACAATTTTTTGTAGGTTAGGAGAGCTGTATGGTCTCCTGTGTGCGAATGAAGGGCGGGCCTGTGAGAGCGAAGGCAAAATGATCAATAGAACTTTCGCAAGGCAAGTACCTATGACAACCCCATTTTGGGAAGCAACCCTATATAGAGAGATATGTGTACATGTGTATAGAGAGCGCCCTCTTGCGCTACATGCATTTGACTTGCTCCTAGGGAAGGAAAATGTAATTTACACCCTAGGACTGTAGTTCCAGTATTTATTGTTTTGATGGCTTAATCATAAGACCTGCACTTGACTGTGAGTCATGGGTCCTGTTGTGTAGTTTGAGAAGACAGTAGTAGATCATGGATCCTGACATGGGTGGAGTGCCCTAATATTTATTTTTTTTAGCCATTAGGAAATATTGACTTCCAAGTTGTACTTCTGTGAATCTTGAAATTTTGCATTTTCTTGGAGGGACCTATTTGGAGGGGCTAAGGGCCCAGCCCCACACATGTGGGCCCCAATAAGGCCCCATTAAGGCGTTTCTCGTGAACCCCACTAGGGGCCACACATCTCTCTCTATGGGACGACCTCTTTTCAAGTGCCACATGTTTCTTTTTTTTGAGTAAAAAATATTTTTTGTAAAATATTTTTTTAGTGAAAATATTATTTGATTAAATAATATTTGTAAAATAATATCTTGGTGATTTTCTTGTTCTCTAGTATTCTTTGACCAAGTTTTGAATTAATTTGAATTCCTAATTATCTCTTTATGAGCGAATAGGATTTCTCGTTTATGCTAGATTGTTCTAGATAATTTTAGCGAATAGGTTTTGACTGGTTAAAGTTCTTGATGAGCTAGAAATGAATATGGGTCCAATCTTAGGGGATAAGGTTCCTGCAGATTCACTCTACATCATGACGGCTAATCTTGGAGATGAATGGCTTAGATTAAATCGTCTCTCTTACCTCACAGATCACCTAATATTCCTAGATGATGTTGAGCTCCTAATCTAACTGGGAGTTCCTTGGCCCTAGAGGTCTATAAATTGGGGGGTTCTCCCCTTCATTCTAAACATTTGACTTCTGTCTTCTCTCTCTCTCTCTCTCCTCTCCTCCTCCGTCTGACTTCTCTGTCATCTCTCTCTGCCTTGTCCTCACTAATTTTCTCTAAGAGGCACACGCCACCCTCCCTAAGTGCTTAGGGTGGCACATCCAACATTAAAGAGAGAGAAAAGGTGGGGGCAAGCCAACCCTAGCTCTAGTTGTAGGGGAGGTGCCAATTGTGGCATGCCCCAAGGTAGAAAAAGGGTCTTAGTGAAACCCTAATTGTGACCCTGGCTCTCTTGCCCCATAAGTTTAAAAAAAGGGAGTCACAGAGGTGCTTCTCAATTTCAGATTGGTGGATTCAGCAGATTCTACGATCAAGTGTACTATTGGTTAGGTGATCGGGTGTGGGGTAAGCCCTAGAGGGTTAACCCTAGGCAAAAGTTAGTAAGTTTTCCCTTACTTATTAGCTGCTATTTTTTGTCTTATTTTTCTTCCTATAGTCTCTGTATTGTATTCAATTGAATTAAGTCTATTTGGTAGTAAGCTTATAAAGATACTAGATTGTAGTAGGCTGATTTTATTGTATTTGTGGCATTTATTAGTGGAATTTTCAGCAATTAATAAAAAAAAGAAGCAAATATTTAAATTTGTAGCTTGGAGTTCTGCATTGTTGTTCCTTTCAGAGGGCTTAACTCTGTGCTTTTCATGGGGATGTATATTGTGAGACTATTTATTTTTGGTACAAGAAGGTCACAATCATCTCTAACAATTTGATGGCTAACAATAAGTCTGACCTCCTTGTGTGAAAAGTAAATGGTCTCATCATATACTCTCTTTTTTTCTTGGTGTGGTTGCATATATAAATGTAGCTTATGATATCCATTTTCGATCATTACATTTTGCTCCATTTTCTCTTATCATATGGTATTTACCTGTTTAAACCAACTATTCCTGAGTTGTTTCTCACTAGAATCTTCACATTTTGTGACACATTGATTACTAAATCCAATGCACTCCGAAGAAAATTAAATATTTTTCTATTTGAATTTTTCAATCTGACATTTGACTGGTGTTGTTTCTATCCTGGCTTCTGCTTGTCAGGATTGTGGTTAATACTTTGGCTGGATTTTTTTTTCTTAAAAACCTATATATTGCACATGTTTTACCTAGAGACAATCTTCATTGTTTATTCTAATATTAGAGCAACAAGTCTTTTCATTTTCATTACATGATTTTTGCACTTTCATAGTTTGTCTTTCTTGTTTGTTGCCACTTCCTCTTCAGATGAAGATAAATTGGCGTCATTACCTCCGGATTCAGTGGAACAGCAGGCTGAAGTTGTGGCTATTCAACATGAGGATGGCTACAATTGGGGGTAAGAGACAAATTTATACTGGTCAAAGAGATAAATTGACACGACTTCATCTGAGCTAGTGAGTTTCCATTAATTTCATATTTGCAATTTGATGGCCATACCTATCTCAATATCCAATGAATGCAACAGCTACAATCCTGTTCTTTGGGGTGTTCCGAAGGGAAGTTATGCAACTAATCCAAGTGGGTCATGCCGTACTCTGGAGTTCAGAAAATTGGTCCAGGTGCTTGCATATGGTTCAGAAGTAGTGATTTGCATAAATTGGTTTTCAAGGTTGAGCAAATCCTTTTCACTTATACTGTTGTTTTAGTGCTCCAGTCCCTAAACCGTGCAGGTCTTCGGGTTATATTGGATGTTGTCTATAATCATTTGCATGGAAATGGTCCATTTGATGTGAACTCTGTTCTTGACAAGGTAATATTAAGTCTATCTCACCGTGGAGGTGTTTGGGTGGCATATAACTCGCTGTACAGAAGTGATTAACTCAGCATAAGTGCAAAACATCTGTTATGTAGTTTTGCACTTATGACCAAAAAGAATTGATTACCATTTACCATATAAGTGGGGTGGACTTCTTGTCAATATTTTGCACCTAATGCCCTAGTGATGTGGGCTGGACATATAATGTCACCTATTATATGCCTTCCAAAAGGCCCTAACTACCCTATCATTTTGATGTCACATTATCACATTTCTTTCCAAATAATCTTCATTTTTCCATCACATTTACAAACACTGAGGACCTATTATTTTATAGGTGGTTCCGGGTTATTACTTGAGAAGGAATAGCGCTGGACTTGTTGAGCACAGCACATGTACTAATAATACTGCCTGTGAGCATTTTATGGTTGAGCGCCTGATTATTGACGACCTTCTGCTTTGGGCAGTCAAATACAAGGTAATTGTGTTTGTGAATTTGGTGACAGTGCTACTTCGCATAAATCTTCATCTTGCACATGACTTAGCAATATAGTGTATGATCTCTAAGAATACCTAATTGTTTTATGCTCTTGATCGTTGTTTTTTTGCTATGCATCCTTGTTTTGTGTTAAATTAAGTACGAAACTAGTGTTATCAAGATTAGAGCCCTGCTTGTACCACCAGGGGGACTGCTCTATGCAAAACCAGTCAACCAGCATTTAGAATGGTCTGGTCTTTTTTTAGATATAAGAATTAGAGTACATAATTAAATATTGAAAATTCAGGAAAAGGAAACAATCAGGTAAAAATAATGGAAATTAGTAAAAAAGAAAAATAAAAAAATTTCAAAATTTATTATTTAAAAATTTAGTAAATTATGTCAACTTTGGGGTCTTTTTCATGAGCAGGAATCAAGGAGACAAGATTCATAGGGTAGTTTAATCTTGCAAATCAGCAGAAAAGCAAATAAATAATTAAAAGAACAAAATAAAAAATTTGCTAAACCTAAAATTGGTCCCAAAATGTTAGGAAATAAACTTGAATGGGTTTTCTTTTGTCCAGTTTTTAATCATATTTTTAGGTAAGATTCATAGGGGGATTTATTCTAAAAAACATGGGGAAACAATAATTTGTTTTCAAGGCAAAATGCTGCTAAATTTGGTTCCAAAATGTATTGGAAAGAGAAGGCTGGAGTTGCTTTGTTTTATATTCAGGCTTTATTCATGATTTGGGGCAAGATACATAGGATTATTTAATGTGGCGAACTAGCAGCAAAACAAAGAAGAAGAAAAAAGATTAAAATATCGCTAAAATTGGTACAAAAATTTATAGGAAATAGAAAACCAGGATGGTTTTCCTTTTGTCCAGTTCTTTTGTCTCAATTTTAGGTATGGTCAATGGGAGAAAGAAAACTAATTGTAATAGTATAGGACTAACAAAACAATGGCAAGACTTTGAACAAATTTAGCTTTTTTTTTTTTTCTGAAAAAGGAAAAGAAGATAATATGAGATAGGATTTCCTTTTAGTTATTTTGTGTCAGGATTATGAGCACAATCTTTTGGATAAGTACAATAATTGTATATTAGGAAAAAACATAACATAGGTGACAATACCAACAAAATTGGCCTAAAATTTTCAAAGAAAGGTAAGCAAGATAAGGCTCATTTTTAATCATGTAGGGTGACGATTTTGAGTATAAATATTAGGATATAGAAATTTTGGCAATAAAAAGATCCAACTCCATGTAAATGTAAAACATAGAAGGAAAAAATTCAATCGAATATTGACTAGAACAAAGTTGAACTTTGTATTTGCCCAAAATTAGGTGATCCAAGAGAACAGGTGAAACCAGTTGATCGAATAAGTTCGACCAGTCACAAACTTGTTCTGCCTGTCTGTGGTGGTTTGGTCCTATCCTGCTAAAATTGTTTGCAACCGCCTAACCTGAGGCAATTGTGTTACTTACAACAAATGGACAGTGTGAATTATGGTTGTATATCTATCTTCTGTGTTGATATAACCTATTACATTATATTGTTGGCTTCATGGCATATCTAAGAGAATTTTTCCTTGTGTGATTATCTGGGGATGTGCCTAAGTTGGCTAAGGTCATTTGGGGCATTTTTTACTTGATTACTTATTAATACTCTTGATTGCTTATTGTTATTGTTCTATTGAAGCCATGACTTGTAGGACTAATATCTCTAGGTGTGCAAATACGCTGGTTTTGAGTCAAGTCGACCCCATCCCATACCTGATCCAACTATATTGGGGTGCAGGGGGTGACGCAGACCGGTCTGGATCCAAACCCTGCCCTAGCTACGTCCAGCTTGAAGAGGGCCCAAAAGACCAGTATCCAACTAGGATTCAACCTGGTTGGGTCTGGGGATATGGGTCGGATCACTGGGCCTAAACCCAGTGTAAGTCACCAAACACAAATAATTCAAGGCAAAGAAAAAAATCCTAAGCAACAAAGCTCGAAAGAAAAGTGCTAATTCTTTTATCTCTTTCATGCCTAAATAAAAAAGGAAAAATAAAAAACATAGAAGTTTTAAGGGTTCTATTTAAGGAGCTTGTGGGAGGACAGGTTATAAGAGGTATAGAGCTGCTTTTGAGCTTCATCCTAGTTTCTGATTGCTTTCTATGTTACTTTGAAGGATCTCCTTTAGATTTTTTGGGCTCCATTTCATTTCCTTTTTGAACTCTTTCTTCCATTTAGTTATCATTCTCTTACTATTGTTACTAACTGATTTCAGAGAAACTCTTGCATTACTATTTATTGGCATCATTTTTGGGTATCGAAGCAAATTTATTTAGGGCGAGACTTGCTTCTTCTTTGCGACAATTCGATCACTAGAGTGCAATGGCAGCAAGGGGAGTTTGTAGTAGAGGAAGAGTCGGACGTGGAGAATGGCTAGAAGCATTCCAAGGTCTCTAACGACAGCTTATGCTGTGTTGAGAAGCACCAGCACAACTGTATATGAACTTAAGTGTTCATGTTTCAGAACATGGATATGAGCTCCTTTCTCCCCTATTGGTAAAGATTGTGCGAGACGGTAGAGCTGAAAATTCAGAAACTTCTTGGGGGCTGGAGGAAAACCCTAAACATAAGTTAATCTTGACCATCCAACTAATTTAGTCATAACCATTTATTATAAAAAACTTTAAGTAAATAAAATGATAGACAACTTTAGGGATTACTACTTGTGCCCCTAAGTGAAAAAAATGATTCAAAAAATAAATAACAAACATGAAAGCACATATTCAATGACTAATTTGCCCTTTTATGGTTCCTCTTGTAAACTTTAAGCTTGTCTCTCTTATCTAGATACTTGAGAGCAGTAATCTAGGCTGCATCAGTCCCCCCTTCCTCAAAAGAATTCGCCCTCGAATTCGGTGGCTCGTTGTCGTAAGTGCGAAATGACCATGACTTGGAATGAATTGCTTGACATAAAAAAATCAGAAGTGCAAATATGGCTGGGAAGCTTCACTTTGTACACATTGTCATTAATCTTTTGCACCACTTCATTTCTAATCTAATTATACATCCTCGGAGATATCCATGCAAAATAACTTTGTAGAAAATCTCACCTTATGTGAACCTTATGTGAGACCCTAAATTTAGGTAAAACTCGAAGAAAAACAATATCATCATCATTACCTCTGTCAACACTATCATTTTTCTCACTAATTCCATCAAGGACAACCAAGTTAGTTATCTCCATCATCCTAGGAGCTAGTTTGTCACTTTGACCCAGTTCTTCATCAAGGAAAGGAGCATCCACAAGATCCACTCCAAGGATAAGATCTTCTTCATCCTCTTCGCTGCTTGGAGCAGCATTAAAGTTATGATCACCTATTTCTAACGCCCAAATCTTCATCCAGGTACTTAGAAAGGCTCGTGGTGAGTCTCAGTCCACGACATGCTGATCATGAGAACCATTTGATGAGAACAAAGTTTCTCCATGCTTGTCCTCACTAGACTTCCATAACACCCCAGGATCTCCACCTTATGACTGGTTTCCACCTCCTTGTATCCCCATCCGTATGATTAACTACCTCTCTCCTTGGAGCTTGATCATGGAAGGGATTTATGGATTCCTCATCTGCCTCGATCTCATCCTTCTAAGATGAGGCTTTCATCTACGCTAAACGTGGAGCTAGGATTTCGACCAATCTCCTTAGTTCTACAATCCCTTCTCGTGAACTAGCATCAAAGGTTTCTACTGTTGTTGCTTTTCTATCTTTTCCTCTCCATGGAGGTGTGGTTGTTGATCTAGGGCACAATAATTGACGCGATAGAACCGTCTGTATAGTGTTACAATATCATCCATTCGGTGCTACACTACCATGCTGCAGTACTGTTCGTATAATGCTACGTTACCGTGCTACAATACCGTTTAGATCGTTGGGCTTTGACATCAACTTAGCATAGATGTAATAGCTTGGAGGTAGGGTTTAGCAAAGAAGATAGGGAACATCCAAAATTATAGAAAGATTATAAAACTTGAGGTAAAGGAAGGAGCACTTGCAACACTTGTTGCTCTAGGGTTTCGAATAAAGTCTATAACAAGATATTTCATTACGCTTGAGTACATCTTTTATATAAGAAAATTGTGAACAAGATTTAATCCTAGCCATCCATCCAATCTAATCATGGCCATTTATTATAAAAGACTTTTAGTGAACAAAAAGACTCTAGAAAGTATTACTTATACCCTAAGTAAATAAAATGACTCAGGAAATAAACAAAAGACATAAAAAGACAGATTCAATGGCCAATTTTACCCTTCTATGTTTCTTCTTGTAAACTTTAAACTTATCTCTCATATCTAGATACTCGAGTGCAGTATTCTGGGTTGCATCAATTAACAAATCTCGTACTTTCGTAGTGATGGAGGGGGAGAGTACACATCTCAAATGTTTAAAATTACCTGAGAAACATTGGGATAGAACAACAAATTTCTCGTCCTCATAGTTCACAGAAAAAAGGAGTGGTGCAAAGGAAATGTAGACATATAATTAAGTTGGATTATCTCTTATTCTTTTCTAGTGAAGTTGTGAAGTTTTTATGAACTGCAGCTTTTCATATAGCTACCTTCTTGATAAATAGACTTCCAACTGATGTATTGGATGGAAAATCTTCACAGGTATCACTGCTTTGAACAACTCTTGACTTTTCTATCATGAGGAATTCTATATGTTGGGGTTATGTCCATATTGATAATAGCCTTAGAAATAAACTTGATCCTAAGGCAGAAACATGTATTTTTGTGGGTACTCCGATGATCATAACGGCTGTAGTTACTATACCCGAACAAAAATAATTTTTATTTCTAGACATGTAAAATTTAATGAGTTGAAAATGTTTGCTCCTCCAAAGAAGGATGTTGTAGATGAAAGTCTATATTCAAAGGAAAGATGCAAATACAAGAATAACTGCGAACCGTTCTTCATAAGTAGACATCAGATGGAAGAATTTGTTGAGATAGTGTTGAAAAAGATGGAGATAATGAACGGATGAAGACATTGTTCCTTGTAATCCAGGAGAAGACCTTATTCCATTTTTTGAGGATGACTACCAAACAGGCCAAAGTGGTCAACGTGTTGTGTACATGGAAGAGCTAAGATGGTAGGAAGCAAGCACATAAAAGAATAACAAATGAACAAACAAACCGGCCCATAGAGCATCTGAATCAGACAATGTTAAGCACTCTTGTTTATACAGATGTTAAGGCCACTTCATTGAGGAGGTCAATTCACATTCAACATCCCATTGAATGATGGGTAAGATATGGAAGTTCCACTTATGAATATCAAGTATTCTTAAGTAGGATCCTTAAGATCAGAGGGCCATAAATGCACTTAGAGTCAACAAAGGATAAGAGGTGGATTGAAGTTATGCAAGAAGAAATCCAGGTGGTCAATAATACATGGGAGATTGTTAAAAGATCAGAAGTTAAAATTTTGTAGGTTGCAAATGGGTATGTAAGGTGAAATAAAAAGAAGATATAAGGTGAAATCAAAAGAAGATGGAAGTATAAAGAGATTTAAGTCAAGGTTGGTTGCTAAAGGATTTAATCGACAGCGTAAAATTCATTATGAAGAAACCTTCGATCTAGTTGTTAAAATTGCGACAATATGCATTATTTATCATTAACCTTGGCCTATGTTTGGCCACTCAACCAGCTGGATGCACAGAATGCATTTCTTTATGGGAGTTAAGAGAGGGGGTTTACATAGAGCAACCACTGGGATTTGGTGAAGCAGATTCAAGAGAGTATGTATGTAAATTGAATCACTCACTTTATGGATTGAAGCAAGCATCAAGAATGTAGTTTTACAGTTTTCACGATGCATTGAAGGAGCATGGATTTAAGAGATTCAGAGGTTGACAAGTCCTTGTTATCCACAGAAGTGCCGTAGGTATTACAATTACAGCTCTGTATGTTGATGATATTATAGTTACAGGTAGTTCATTTGTGGTGGTTGCTGATGTAAAGAGATTTCCTTGCAATAAATTCCAAATTAAAGATTTGGAGAACTAAGGTATTTGGAATAGAGGTAGATTGAGATGCCAGTGAAATGAAGTTTTCGAGACCAAATTATGCATTGGATTTGTGACAAACAATTAATATGGTGAATTGTAAGCCTTCGGGAGACTTGTTGTGATGAATAAAAGCCTGAGCAGGGATGAAAGGGAATTGTTAAGAGAACCAGAGAATTACATGAGTATTGCAGGGGCCCTATTTTATCTCACACTAACACGACCAAATATATCGTATGCAGTGAATTAGGTATTTCAATTTATGCAGGTACCTACATCTCATATGGAAGCCTTAAAAAGAATAATCAAATAAATAAAGGACAGTGAGCTATGGCATAATCTATCATAAAAATGATGTGAAGAATCTCCAAATATAATCAATAATGGGAACCTTATATGCTGATTGAGCTGTTGACCAAGATTCAAGAATGTTAGTCTACGGATTTTGTGTTTATCATGGAAAAAAACTTGATATCAGAGAGTAAGAAACATAAGACCCGTAGCCAGGTCAAGTATTGAAGCTGAATACTGAGCCTTATGAAGTATTATATCAGAGATGTTATGGTTTCGCAGTCTTATGACCACATTGGGCAATAAAGTTCAAAGATCCACAATGTTCATGATAACAGGAGTGCTTAGCCCTGGCGGCAAATCTAGCATTTCATGAAAGGTCTAAGCATATTTCTTGTGAGATAAGAAATTAAAGCGAGGTTCATGGGCACGAAGATCAAACCACATACATATTTACAAAAGGGTTATCCAAGGAATGGCATCAGTATTTGAAGGACAAGTTAGGCGTGTTTAAACATGATGTTCAACTCGAGGGGGAGTGTTAGTTATAACTGGTCAGGGGTTTATAGGTAATTTTATATACTACTGTAACTTATTCTTGTATTTGTAGTTCATGTTCATTGTAAGGGACACATATGTAATTTTTGGATTTATTTGTTCCCTTATCTAACCTTTAATTAATTGGGTTAGAAACAATATATGTATGGGATTGTTTACAAAGAGACCATTTATCTTTTGTACATGGAGATCACAATCATTCCCACTCATTAGATGTCAAATTCGATGGCTTGGGGTGAGTCACGAAATCCGAGATTTTTTTTTTTTGAAACTTTATGCCTATCCAATGAGACTCTTACAACCACTCATTTGGAAATTTAAAGGGCATGAATGATTGTGACTTCCATGTATAAATGATAAATGGTCTCTTTGTAGACAACTCTTGTTTGGCTTCCTTTCTATCCATCTATACCTGTACCACAACTTGCTCTTCTATATCAATCATTCAAGTTGGTATATTAACACACTGGTCTGAGTAAACCCCTTGGAAACTAATCTCGCCTTGTATCTGTCAACAGTACCATCAGCCTTGTGCTTCTCAGTGTAAACCCATTGCAGCCAACCAACTTCGCTTTGGGAGGGTCTAACAGTTCCTAAGTACCTATATGAAGTGATGCTCTCATCTCATCACACATAGCTGCTGCCAATTGGGATGAGGTAAAGACTCTGTAACATTGGTAGGGATAGAAACAGAAGACGAAGGACACAAAAGCACAATAGGAGGAGATAAAGACTCGTAAGAAGCAAGATTGCTAATTGGATGAGCACTGCGACTATGTTTAACTTTTTCTTGAACGATAGGCAAATCCAGGTAATCTCACTGGGAGTTGATGGAATTGGAATTATTCTTATCGAGATTAGAGGTATGTTATTGACTTGGAGGCATGTCGACTACATTAGTCTCCATTTCTTTTTTGTTTCCATTGAATATATACTTTCAATTCCTTTTTTTCTACTCCAACATCGTAAGATTGCTCCTCACTGTCCTCCTGAGCTTCACAATTAGGAAAAATTGGAATAGGACGGGGAACATGAGGCCTCTTTTCCACAATGTGCGCTTCCTAAAGAGATGGAAAAAAGAAATCGACTCAAAGAAGGTTACACCCATCGAGACAAATTTCATCCTTGACACCCATAGTACTTGTAACATTTCTTAGGTGATAGATAACCAAGAAACATTTCTGAGATGATGGATAACCAAGAAAAATACATTTCACAGAATTGGGGCCCAGCTTTGTACTATTTGGACCATGAACATGAGCATAATAAACATGAACGAAGATTTAGGAGGAATACTAAAATGTGGACAATCAGGACGATGAAGTTTATAGGGAGATAGTCTAGAACACGAGAACGCATCCGATTGATGAGAAAGGATGCAGCAAACACAACTTCTGACCAATACTTCAACCAGCAACTCCATAATTGGCTTCTTCATCCTCCAAACAGAGACTCGTATCTTCTTCCAAGAGGGTTTGGTCCAAGAGGAAGTGAGCGGTGCGGTGTTTGTATGGTAGTTGTGTGAGGCATTGAGTGTTCTTTCGATCAGCATTTGTGAGAGATTCCAAGGGGATGAAGGGCCTTACCGGCAACTTTTCACGCAACCCAGAGTGCCGGACCTGCAACCTTTTCACGCAAAACCTAGTGGAAGGAAGGGAACGCACATCCTAGAACATTTTGCCATAGTTCTGGGGAGATTGTTTGGGCTGTATGAAGTCCTACAGAGTGGTCCTGGGCTATTCTAGTTTGCTGTTTTTATGCATATTTAACTGTATGTTGGAGCACTTTTTTGATGTGGTAGCAACTGTCGAGGGGAAATATATGTTTTTCTTTTGTGTTTTTTGAGTCTAGTTCCTTTTGTCAAAATTTCAGGGCTGGCATGTGTTGAAGACCAGGGATTTACAGGGACATTAACAAAATTTGTAAAAAGTTACACCTGTATCACCTGGTGATTGCGACCCACAAGTAGGACTCTAGAACGTAGTAGGGAAGAAATGTGGAAATCTGTTTAAATTTAGGACCTCATTTTTCCTTATATAACATATAAATTAGCTAGAAGAAGAATATGTGTCATTTGTCATTAGGTATGTTCCTCAAACTTCCATTCTTTGTATCCACCACATATTGTTCTTGCTTTTGATTGCAGTTTCATGAGGGTCTTGCTGTATTGTCATGACACACACACGCACTCGCACACGCACACACGCATGCACACACTCTCACTCATTCACCCACTTACTTACTCATTCACCCCCCCGTCCACCCGCCCAGCCACCCACCCACTCACGCATTCACCCACTCACTCACCTTGGGATACAAAAATTCTCATACTATGTTTGCTGTTGTTACTTGTCCAGACAAACATTCTTCATCTGATGTTTGTTGTTGTTACTTGTCCAGATTGATGGATTTCGATTTGACCTCATGGGGCATTTAATGAAAGGTACCATGGTATGTATTGCTATTATCTATGACCTACAAGCTATGAGTACTATCCAAACCACCATCAATTGACAATACCTGCACTTTTTGGTTCAATGAGCTTAAGTAAGAATATTTAAATGTTGGAGTGTAGTAATAAAAGTAGTAGCAGTTGAAGCATAAAATTTTAAATTCAGATCAGTGTTTCAAAAAGCACTAGGTGGCATCCATACGTCCATGGGGGTTCAGGCAGCCCAGTGCCTAGGCGGCGGCCTAGGTAGGTGCCCAGAACTTGAGCGGCCCAATTGAAAAAAAAAAAAAATCTGATGTCCTGCTTGATAAATGATAATGATTAAGCCATAAGAATTTTGATAATCCATAAGACCATAATCTATAAGAATTTTGATAATCCAAAGACCATAATCCCAGTTGATAAAAAAAGATAGAAGTCGAGAAAAGAATTTTGATAATCCATAAGACCATAATCCATATTTTTATATAACGCTAAAACAGTAAATTGTAAAACCATACAAGCATACACTGATAGTCTGATGCACTGTAGACAGTACACAAAAAAGTTAGATAGTAGAACTAGAACTAGAAAGTAGAAACTAAAAATAAGAAAAAAGAAATATACAAAAATTAAAAAAATATACAGTCTAGGACACAAAAGTTAACACTCAACACAACAGTCAACACTCAACACCAAGAGGCAAGCCTCAAGAGTCCTCAGTCGTCATCATCATCATCATCATCAGAAGGAATAAGGTAAGCTGCATCATATGGATCAGATTCGAGGCCATCATCATCAGAGTCATCTTCCTCTTCTATATAATGCTCGTCCTCCTCTGTTTCTTTTGAATCTGCCTCTTCCTCTTCCTCATCCTCCTCTTCTACCTTCCTCGTACTAGTATGTGCAGATGAGGCCCTAGGAGTCTTGGCTGCTCTACGCTTTTCTATCTTGTTGTGCTTCCCTAAACTCAAATGTTGTATAATTTTCTCCCTGGTAGCCTCAGGAACATTTTTACACAGGGCAACATCCCCCTCAATACCGGCAAGGTGTTTTTTAAACCAGTAACTGCCCCCATTAGTATCCTTTTCACAATAATTACATTTAATACGATTTTTGTCATTCGGATTTGGGTTATAATCATACTTCCAACTTGAATCACCACTTCTAGAAGAACCTGGAGAAGATATTTCCATAGCACAAGGTTCATTTTCACCATTTTCTGGTTCTTTTAAATTCAGAAGTTGTCTAATCTCATCCCGAATAGGTTCAGGAACCTTTTTACAAGAAACAACATTCCCTTTAATACCAGCAAGGCGTTTCTTGAATCGGTTAATGCCCCCATTGGTATATTTTTCCAACCCAGATCACTTCTTCTAGAAGTAGCAGAAATAGATCTGTTCAAATGATAAGGATTTTGTTCCTATTTTTGTTTTACATAACTCATATATTGCTTAATCTCCTCTCTGATAACTTCAAGAACATTTTTACAAGAGGCAACATCCCCTTTAATACCGGCAAGATGTTTCTTAAACGGTTTATGTCCCCTTTTGTATATTTTTCACAAAAATTGCATCTAATGCAGTTTTTGTCATTGGGATTTAGGTTAAATGCATATTTTCAACTTTGATCTTCATTTCGACTAGATCCTGAAGAAGACATCTCAAAATAAAACAAACAATCTAAAAAATAAAGTTTTGCACTTACTTTGATTGCTCGAACTCCTACTCCCGCCTCTGAGATGTTTTCTGGTGCTAAAATAATAAAAAACACCCTCTAATAGGATTATAAAACTCCAAAACTAAATCAAATTTACATGGGTGATGTTTGGATCTGTTTTCAGTAACTTTGAGAAACACTTCGATCTGATGAAAATCACAAAATTTAGTTTTCTTGAGGTTTCTTTCTCTCTAAAATTGGTTCTTGTGGGTTTAGGTTTCAAATAAACCTAAAATCCATCCTTGTAATCCTTTATATTTAAAAAAAAAAAACAATACAAAAAAAATAAAATTTCTGCCCCTAGGCGGGGGCGCTGGCCCTGGGTGGCCGCCCAAGGCTGAGCGCCCTCCTAGGCGGGTTCCGTACTGCCTACGCGGCCGCCTAGGGATTGTCGCCCGGTTTGGCCGCCTAGGCCTGAGCGCATCTCCTAGGTCTTCTGGACCGCCTAGGCGTCGAGCGATCCGCTTTTTTGAACACTGATTCAGATAAATAGGTTCTTTCTAACATGATTGATATTAATTTCACTACTTGGTTAATAACATGATTGAAAGTTCATCTTGATTTAAATCAGCTTTTATATCCTAACTAATTTGTTTTTGTTGAACACTTCTATGATAAGATTTCTTATCACATTGTTGTCTTTACAGCTTAAAGCTAAAATTGCTCTCCATAGTTTGACGACATCTAAGGATGGGGTTGATGGTAGCAAAATTTATGTGTGAGGATTTTCTCTTAAACCCCTGGTGTTCTTTGTGTGTGATTTTCTATCAATTCGTCAATACGGTTGTCATCCACTAAATTGCCTTTTCTTTTTTTGAATATTATTTACTCTATCAAGCCAAACTGATGACATTATGGGTGTATAGATATGGTGAAGGATGGGACTTTGGTGAGGTTGCAAAAAATGCACGTGGAGTAAATGCTTCACAATTTAATCTTGGAGGGACTGGTATTGGGAGGTAATATTTCTTGTGTGGTCTTCAGTTGAGTATTCATTGATTTAATGGAAAAGAAATATCCATTTTTCAAGGGACTACAATGAATTATTCGTGAAAATCTATATTTCATGGGACATCCTACATGCACTTACCAAGCTCCTAGCTTGTGGGTTGCTCATTTTTTGACTTGCATATAGTTATTAATTGAGCATCTGGCTTGTGGGATGCCATTTTGTATATATGCCGAGTGTTTTCATATATATAAACGTTAACCTTCTCCTCCCCCCCACCCAAAAAAAAATCGAAAAAGAAAAAAGAATATCTGTAAATATTTGTAGTGTTCAATTGAGTCATGGATTATGCAAATATACAGTGTTATGGTTTTTAAATATAAATTTTGTTGATAAGCAAGTTTAGTAATAATAGGAGTAGAAATGGAAGGAGTTTAAATTGATGGCCAAGAAATACCAAAAAGAGCGGACTTTACAGATTGATGGAAGGAGTTTAGATTGAGGAAGATTTTGCAGATAGAATTGGAGCTGGTTAGGCAAAATGGAGATGTACAAACAGAGTTCTATGTGATTCCCGCATTCCAATGAAGCTGAAGGGGGAAGTTTTATAGGGGAGCTATAAGACCAGCTTTGCTTTATGGGGCGGAATGTTGGGAAGTCAAGAAACAACATACCTATAGGTTGAGTGTGGTTGAGAGGGGATGTTGAGATGGATGAGTGACAAGATAAGAAAAAATAAAATTCAAAATGAATACATTCGCGAGAACTTAGGTATGGTTTCAATAGGCGATAAGATGAGGAAAAGTAGACTTATATGGGCTGCCCATGTGCAATGGAGACCCAATACAATAGCTGTTAGGAGGTGCGAGTTGGTTCAATTGGACAAAAGGAAATGATTGGAAGTAGTGAGAAAAGATATGGGGACTTATATCCTCATTGAGAGTATGGTCCTTGATCGAGCAAAATGACGGACCAGGATTCGTGTAGCCGACCCCAAATAGTTGGGCAAAGGCTCTGATGATGAGCACTCCTAGAATGTAATGTCCCAATTGTATAACTATGTTTTGTGAGAAGTTTATTGTTAGTTGGACAAACATACCTTATGTTTTTTCCTTCATTTCTCGTGGTAGGACCTACACATCATATGATAACCTTTTACTTTATTATGGAGTAGTAGTTATTACTTGAGGGTAAGTGACACATTTCCTCTCCGCAATGCTATGCATTTTTGCTGTGATTCTCAAGTTCCTATATCAAAAATCATAGCATTAAAACCTATAAAACAACTATATCAAAATCATAGCTGTAGCAACTATTAGGGCTCATCCATTAAAACCTATGTAACTACTATAAGTCCCATACATAATGGGCCTCATGATTTGGCTGTTATAGTGCTTCGGGTTCATACCCATTAAACTTGCAACTCCTATGAACAATGGACCTCATACCCATTAGAACCAGCTATAACAACTCTTGTAACTCCTGCTGTAATGGTAGTAATTCTTTTGCATGTGGACCTATCCATAGTATACCCCCCCATAGGAATATGTGTTGATATAGGGCACATTGTCTTACAAGTTATTGTGTGTGAAAAATATATGTATTTACTTGTGCTTGAATATTACTCTCTCTCTCTCTCTCTCTCTCTCTCAATCTTAACATGGTATCACAGTTGGGCTTGAAACCCTACGATATCCATGACTTACAACAACCCTAGAATAATGACTTTTCTTTTCTTGGGGATGAAGTTTGGTGTATTAGCAACCTCATATTCCAAGTAAGATATCTCACTTTCCTTTGCCGAAAATAACTTTTACCCTAAACTCTTTCCATTTCCAGCCCCCAAGAAAAAGACAAAAGAAAAAATCCTAGTGTCCAACTTATCCCCCAAAAAATTACACAAGTATGTTCGATGCCTATTTCATAGCTTTCTTGCCTAAAGTATAGGGTTTCGAGTTCGAGAGAGGAGAAAAATGTCAGAAATCAAGCACAGTGTCACCTTGGGAAGAAACATTCTGATGCTCAGCGAAGGATATTTATATGCTGCCATGATTTTTATTTTTGTGTGAATACTTATGATTGTGCTTCTTTCTTATTCAGGATATGCTGCCAAGATTTTTTCAAACTTTTCTTGAATCAAAGTTTGATGATTCTCATTCTTGTGCAGCTTCAATGATCGTATACGTGATGCTGTAGTTGGTGGATCTCCATTTGGACCTCCGCTTCAACAAGGCTTTGTGACAGGCTTATCCTTGCAGGTAATTGTTGTGACTACCCTAGCTTACGCTAATCTATTTAATCTGACTTTCCCTTTGTCATGTTGGTGCTTCTAAATATCGATTTGTACATAGTGGTCGTCAGTAATGTTGATGTTTACTCTATTAAATATTGTTTGCTATCTAATAAGTGGTAAATATTGGCAATTAGGTTGTGCAGGTGAATAGGCAAGGAATGTGGAATTACTATGGGCCTCGAGCAAATACTTTTTGTTTGTAATGCTTTTTGTGTTGTGGTACTCTCTATGTCGACAAGATTTGTGATTGTCCAAAGTAGTTTGTGCATCATATGTTAGCAATCAATTTGCATTTAATAAAAAGGTATTTCATTGGTGTGCAACCAATCAGGGCACCATCCAATTAAACTTTGACGATTGCCAGTTAGGAAATTCAGGACCATGTGGTATAGCTGGATTTTCAGAGACTGTTTTACTAATATCCTCTCCTCCTTCACTGGCTTTTTTGGCACTTGTGACTTCACTTGGGCTGAGGCCAATTATTTGCTCGAAGGTCTCTCTAGCATTTTTGGTAATATCCTCTCCTCCTTCACTGGCTTTTTCAGCACTTGTCGCTTCACTTGGGCTAAGGCCAACTCTTTGCTAGAAGGTCTCTCTAGCTTTAACCCTAGCTGGGGGATGAACTTATTGTTGAAGGGGATAATGTGAATATTATACTTTCGGCCAGCAACAGAAATCAGTGTCCCTGGCTTCTTGCTCCCATTTTAGAGTTGTGTAGGCGACTTCGAGTACGCCTCTATCATATTTGGCCAGAGGCTAATGCTGATGGTGATGTTTTACCTCTTGACTAATTTTGTTTTAACTTCTTTGACTGATTTTTAGTCTCACCTCCTCATTTCCATCTCTCCGTCCTTCTTACCTCACTCTCCTACCTGCTTCTTCCTTCATCTTCCATTCCTCTTCGCCCCAGTCCTCCTCCTTCTTTTTGCAGGTACAACTATGCAAAGTCAGGGTTCCAGACATAGCTTAACTTAGAGCACATCTTCTGCGGGCTGGCTCCTCTACCATTCATCAGCAGCTGAGCACCCGGCTTGTGGGTGGTCCCCATGCCTTAAATAGGTTCCCTCTCGCTTCTCCCTTTCTTATTTTCTTTACTTTTGAATTTTGTGTTGAGCACCCACCCAAATCTGTTGGCTGTCTTCTCTACTCTAGCTCCCCATCTCTTCTCTTTCTTTCTTACATAGGGCTTATGTCACTTGAATAACCGGCTTTTGGGTGATCTCAACCCTCCCTTCTACCTGACACTCACATAGTGAAACAGGTGCCTTCACTTCTCTCTCCTTTCGTTCTTCTCCCTAATATTGCATGACCTCTCTTTGAAGTTTTGCTGTCATAAATCATACTCATGGCACACTATAAAACTTAGAATGAGCCTGAAATGGATTCCAATCAAGGGAGTACAAAAACATGACTTAACAAGACACACCTTTCAATTTACTACAGAATAGAAGATGAGTATCGCTTGATGAAAATATGATATTTCTCAACTTATAGAGAATTCTTTCTTCAAGTTTTTTAGTATGAAAATAGACTCAAAAATACAAAATCATACTTTTTAGCCCTAAATCACACCATTCAGGGAGTCTATGAGTTGGTGACATTCATGTTACAATACAGTTCATACAACGGAAAATCAGGATGAGCATCCCTCAATAAAAAGATATTCTCTCAATCCATAGAGAGTTTTTTCCTCAAACGTTTATGTTGAAAGTTAAATTCAAAACCACAATTTAATATCATGGTGTGATTTTTCAAAACAAGATTTTTCAGGTCATATTGTAGAATTCCAGGATGAATACTCCCGTAAATTACCTTTTCTCTCTACCCACATGGATTTTGCCCTTTCAAACTTTTTTGTTTACAAGTAGACTCAAAATGACAACAAATTTCTTGCTGTAGGTTCAATATCAATTTGTTAAATAGGCGTGTAAAATAGAGACATCCACATCACAGAAAAATAGATCGAACTGCAGAAATTCAAGATGACCTTTCTTCAATAAAATAATTTTTTCTCAAAATTTCCGTGGAGTGTCTCTCACTTTTATTTGTTAGAAAATAGACTAAAACAGACAATATAAATACTTGGTGTGGGCCTCAAAACATTATGTTAATCAGGGATATTAAATCACAACATCCATGTCTCAGAAACAATCTTCATTGCAAAAGCAACAGGCTTGAGTGCTCTTTAGTAAAATAACCATATCTCTCAATCCACAGGGGGTTTCTCGATCAACATTTTTTTGTTTGAAAGTAGATTCAAAATGGGTGAATAACAGTCAGATCCCCTCCAAAAATTCATGGAAAGTAATTCATAGTTCCTGGATTCTGTGGGATCAAAATTGGCACCCCATAATGATGAGTCCTCAACTCTCAATCCCCACATAATGTCCCATGGAAACTTTGTACGGAGATAACTATTCTAGAAAACACAAATATAAATATATTAGATCCATGAAAATATTTCATCCTTTGGTCTTTAACAGTGCGCCAAAACAACTCAAAACCCTAATATGTAGATTCCTAGTGTTCAAATTGCACCAATAATTCTTTCGGAGGTCCATCACTTGCCCACAAAGCCATTAGCTCCCGAGTTTCTGATTCAAAACTCACAAAAGCAGCAAAACCAAAAATAATATGGCTGCAAGAGATCCGCTCTGAAACTAATGAAAGCAAGTTAATGTGATCTAGCCAAGTCTATATAGTTAAGATTTTTCTTTTCTTTCTTTTATTCATTCTGGTTAGAACACTTACAAGTGTCCTAAATTACAATGTTATTCATAAATTATACCCTAATAAAATCTCCGATATTCACTTGCATACCATTGCAATTCTTTACAATCAAATAGAAATACAATGCATGAAGAATCAAGAAACATGGGGCCATTAGATTAACTGAATATCTTGCCTCATGTTGCCCCTAAGGACTTTGTACACTCCACATCAAGTCTCCTCCACCAATGGCACATGGGATCTTGCTTCTGACCTTGTCTCATAATTCGGGAAGCCTAGGGAAAATCTCTTGAGAGCATCACATGGGAGCAATCTCATAGTACAAGACGATAACATAAGTACCATCTAGTATAGGGTGTGCCACCCTCTAGTGGATTGGGCGTGCCCCCTTAGGGTTTACTCTTGGCTCAAAACAACTCAAAACCCTAACTAGAAGAGAGAGTGGGGCATACCTGCCAATGTGAGAGAGAGAGACCAATACAATCTCACTAGTGTAGAGAATACACCCCCATAAAGAATATTTATAGAGAGGAGGCTAGGGTTTTGGGGTCTATTTTGACCGTAGATCTTAGAGACCTTTGGGGTGAAGAGATCTTAGCCCTTCATTTCTTAGATCAGGTATCATGATTAAAGGAATGAGCTAGAACCATTATCCCCTAGCTTCCCTTCTCTTTCTTTCCCTCTTACATAGGGCTTGTGTAACTTGAGTAACCGGCTTTTGGGTGACCTCAACCCTCCCTTTTACCTGACAATCGCACAAGTCAAATTGGTGCCTCACTTCTCTCTACTTTCTCTCCCTTCCCTAATCTATTCCCCCCTTTCTTTCTCTCCCGTATTTTATCCCCCCTCTTGCTTTCTCTCTCACTCTTCCCCTAGATCCTGTCCGGATGTATTGCAAATCTTTCTCCTCTCTCCTCCTTCCCTCTCTCTTAACTTCTCCACCTTCTTTCAATTTATCTTTACCTCTACTCTTTCTCTGTACTAGCACAAGTGGTTGAGCACCCGATATGTGTGCGGTTAACGACACCTCCCTCTTTTTATTCTTTTCGTTTATACACAACATTTGATGTTTAAGAGCACTTGGTTTATGGGCTGCTTTCATCTCACTTCTATTGTGAACCTTTTGTATAATCACCATTTAGTAATATATTGTCACCATTTTCAAAAAAAAAAAAGACAAAAAAAGAACGAATTTGGTTTTAAAATTTTAATTCATATCAAGATATCTTTTCAATTTTTTTGAATATCATGGAGATACTTTTTTGATGTTATTTTAATATCTGAGGATACTTTCAATCAAAATGAATACCTAAGGGGGTTTATGAAAATTTTACCAATATTATCATTTTAACGGGGGAATGATCTGCTTGTTGGGGTTCATGGCCTGAATTGGAAGACCTAGCCGTTTCAGCTGAAGCGAAGCAAATTTGATAACATTGCTTTAGCCAATTTGGAATTGCTTGGGTGGGAGTCATTTTAAAAATAGTTGGGTTCGGGTGAAGTTCTCTCTCTAGTCCACAGGGGTTGCAATTAGACAAACATTGAAGGACTGGCCTTTCTTTATGATTCGTGTTTTTGGCAATCTCTTTTTCAGGAATGCTTGGATTAGGATCCTGTTGTCCCTGGTTCATAATGGGTGGAATGGATGAGATTTTTCATGTTAATCATCTAGTAGACTGTTTCTTCAATCATAATTTTAGAGAGGCATCAATGACTTTGTGGACAACTTGAGGGGGTTCACATCATAAACCTTGTACACGAGGAATCTATGAGCTAATACCTATGTTGCTTTTTTTTTCTCCCTCTCTTGATCTTTCTATGACCTATCGTCTTTCATTCTCTGGTTCCCCTCTTTGCCACATTTTTTCTTTTTCTTAGTTTCTTTCTATTGATGTATTCGTCTTTGCCTGTTTATACTCTTTGGGAGAACAACTTGTTGTATGTTGAATTCCTTAATAGTCAACTATCAAATATTAGTCCTCTATATGAAAACATAGGACAATTGTGAGACCAGTTTTGCTTTATGGAGCAGAATGTTGGGCAGATAAAAAACACTAAATCTATAGAGTGAGTGTAGTGGAGATAGATTTGTAGCAAGACAAGAAGGGATAGAATTCGAAATGAATCCATTCGGAAAAATATAGGTATTGCATCAATAGGCGCTAAGATGAGAATGAGTAGACTTAAGTGAGCTGGCCATGTGTGGCGCAAACCTACTGCAACACCTATTTGGAG